ACAGAGAGAGAGTTTAAGCAATGCATATTGGGCTTCTGTGCAAGAGAGGATGAGTGAGAAAAAGATTTTCTGAGGAGAGTGCCTAACTGCACCTAATTGTGAATTTGCTTCCTTCCAGCGACACTCAGGTTAGTTAGACCTTCTTCTCTTAAAAGCCACTTCTTTCGCTGAGAAATGAGGTAGCTGTGCCACCCAATAGACCCACACATGAGATCTCACACCTGCAGATGCCACATTCCTGGCAGGACACAGAGGCCAGACGTTTGCCTGTGAAGGAAACTGCTGATGAAAGTGAGAGTTTGGGGCAGAGAGAATCTTTAAAGCAAAGACTTCTAACCAGTTTTATTTGGCCCAACACAGCGCCCAGTGTTTAAAGAAAGATTGTTGTGCCCTGGTCGGCATGTCTCAGTTGATTGAGCATTCTTCCGTGTATCCTGAGGTCACCCATTCACTTCCTAGTCAGGGCAGGTTCCCGGGATACAGGCTTGATTCTCAGTGAGGAGCAGGCGGGAGGCAGCCAATCAATTTTTCTGTCTCATCATTGTTTCTCTCTCTCTCTCTCTCTCTCTCTCTCTCTCTCTCTCTCTCTCTCTCTCAATCTCTCTCTCTCTCTCTCCAGTATTAATAAAAACATTTCTTAAAAAGGATTATGATTCTCCAATTACTTACCAATATTTAAAAAAAAAAAAAAAAAAAACACTAAAGCTTCACATAAAAATCCAAAAGTCTGTCATGTTTTGGAAGAGCTGCTGGCTTTTCTTCTGGGGTAGCACCTGTCGGAGATGGGGTGTCCCCTCAGCTAGCCTGCACCCTGTTTTCCTACCTGTGGGCACTGCCGTGTAAATCTCTCCTATCGCCTTTACAGCCCCCTTCAGACGCATGCTCACATCCAGAGTATGAAATGAATGAAAACACCCTCCAGGACAGGATCAGAAGCTTGCAAAGATACGTTCTCAAACTAATACAGCCCAGAGTATGAGAGCTCCCCTGAATTCTAATCACATGTGCCTTGCATTAAAATAGTATGTTTACATAAATACTTGTCCCTGGAGACTGTGAAAGACCCTTGGGCAGTCCCCATTACTGTACCCCTGTTAGAACAATGACTAAGTATGCAAGCTGATTACTCCTATGTGCATTTGTCAATGGTGTTTTCAAAGATTGATAACACGCTATGTTCTTAACTTGCATCTCTAACTTTTAAAAGGAATGTGAAGAATTCATTCAATCCTAATGTTTGGGAAAGTTATAGCTGAGAATTGGTTAGGAGTTATTAAAGCTATTCTCCAGACTCTCCAGAGAGAAAGACTAAACCTTAATGCCCTGAAGGTGTATGGAAACTGGTTATTTGAAATGCCACTTTGTACGTTACCCATTTTATTTGTGGAATAAATAAAAATCAGGTTGAAATCTTGAAAATTATACCAACATCAAACCTAAATCAGTTTTCTCAGATAGTAATCTCACTTTGTTAACTAAATTAAAGGTTTTTAGCTTAAGTTAGTTTGTAATTTTTAACTGTTTAGCTTAAGTTAGTTTGTAATTTTTAACTGTTTTGCAATAAAATTCTGGAAAATTTATCCCTTAGCTTATTTTACTTTTTACAAACTATTTGTCAATGTATGAAAGGAAGAAGAAATATACACTTGGCTGCATAATAAATGAGTCTGCCCTTGGGTGCAATTGCCCTTCTGAGATCTAATTAATCATTAATCATCTCGGCTGTGCCGGCAGACGGACATTCAGCAGTGAAATCTGATCCCCATTGCACAGATGGGGAGGCCAAGGCAGCAAGCAGTTAAGTGATTTTTGGAGACCACACAACTAGAGGCTGGAGGGGCAAGAGCAGGGTCTGGTCATTGTCCTGAGCGAGACCCTTCCTGAAGAAGCGAGGGGCCCGCCAGAGGACCCAATGGGGGGCCCTTGACTCATGTGAGGCAACAGCAGGAATGCCACAGGCTACGTAAAAAACATCTCTTCCTGGTCACGGCTGTGACTTTGCCAAGGTGCTCACCTGAGCCCCCTTTCCAGTGCCTTTAGCAGAATTTCAACATTTGCATTTACATCCGCAGTCAGGCTCACTGAGAATCATGACGAGGAATCTCTAGCGCATTAACAGACATTCAGCTACGTTGTTCCCTTTGACCTTGCAAGTCACCCTCAAGTAGAAAATGATTCTTTCCTCCCGTTCCTCCCATCTCAGGCCACAAGCAGGAGAACTGGGTAGGTGTTCAGATCCAGCCAGGGTCAGACAGCCCCGTTTATGGGGTTCCAGCACATCCAATCTATCCCTTTATCTATCCCATTGGCACTTTTTAGGATGATGAGAAATTGCTATGATTATAAACATCATCGTCTCACAACCCCTCAAGTCTTTTACTTGCTTACATGATCTGGGCCTCCCCATTTGTATAAATGATTACTTCCTTCATTAAGGGGCCTCCTTGTATGGGGATACATAGTGTAAGCATTCTGCTACTCATTTATATAACACCGCCTTGCAAAGACATCGTATTTCACCATTGGTCCCAAACTAAACTTAAGTTTCCTTTCAAGATGATTGTGAATCAATGACGCTTGGCCTTGGTATTAATAAGGAAGATAGAGAGATAGTAAACAGTGAATAGATTACAAATCCCACATGGCTAGTAGGATCAGAAAGACTGTGTGGCCTGTGTCAAGGGACCAGCCATCCATATTCCCAGCCTAGCACATGGAAGTCACCCTTGTGAGATCCTCCCTCCCCCCAACTGGTGGGCGGAGTTGTGACATTAATGGCATCTGCTACCAAGACATTGTACCACCAATCAGCACGTGCCGAAGTGCCCTGGAGCCCTGTTCCACCCTGGGTCCAACCCTTTCCTACTTGTCCCCTCAAAAGGCTCCCCCACCCCTCCAAGTGCTGCTCTCCATCTCCATCTGTGGAGTCAGCCCGGCTGGGTCCTTTCTCCTCTCCTCCCTCCTTTAATTCTGACTTCTCTACCTCCGTAATGAGTCCCGCTCATTACTGGGGAATAAACTTTCCTTTAATATGTCTTGGTGGTCTCTGACTGGTTTCCTGTGCCTCAAACCTTACAACCCTCTGTCCCTCTTCCCTCTCCTATCAGGCAGCACGTCTTACACATGACGGTCCTTCAGCCTTCACAGCGCTGTCTCCTTCCTTCACCCCCCTGGGTCTGCTGTGTTTGGACGGACCCTCAGCATTCACTTCGTGCTTGGATTGTGGTAACAATCTTCTAGCTAAAGCCTGTTTTCCTTTTTCCCCACTTTCTGTCCATTCTCTACACAGAGCCAGAGTATTCTCTAAAATGCACATTTCCGTCTTTGTTCTATCAGTTTGCTGCTGTGTTTGCTGCTCTGTTGACTAATGAGCTAGACCACTAACCTAGACTCTCAATTCCAATAATTACAGGCTGTTGTTGTTCCTTGTGATTAAGCCCCTATGAATCTATCCCATATCCTTAGTGATTATCCTGGTCCTGTAAGGAAGGACACACAGTGCTCTCCCAGAGTGGTCCCTCCCCTGCAGCCTCCCTCTTGCCCTGGCCATTTTCATCCCCCACACCCACACTGATCCTCCTCTTCCTCTGAGGCTGTCAATCAGCACCTGCTTTATTGCCCTATCACCTTGCTCTACTTGCCTCCCATATCTCCAGGCAGGTTTCCAGAGCAACCACTTCATAACTCTGCTTCTGACACCCACACTCCCATTCCTGACGTGTGCCTGCACCAGGGAACCCTCCTCAGCAACGAGTCCCCTAATGTTTGTCTCCTCCATGTGCCAACTGGTCTGCAGCATTGTGTGGCTGGACTGCCATGACACTTGGTGTGAAATCTGTTCCTCGCCCTCTCTGGAAGGCAGTACACGGGGCCAACTGAAGACGTTTCATGCATAGAAAGTTCTCAGTATCATGACTTTGATATGGCTTCCCCACATTCTCTCTCTTAATACTTCTGCAACTCACTCCTCTTAGATGTATAATGAATCTTCATATTCTATATATATATCTTACCCTTTGGTTTCTCTAGACTTGTGGTCGGCAAACTCATTAGTCAACAGAGCCATATATCAATAGTACAACGATTTAAATTTCTTTTGAGAGCCAAAAACCGACTTCTGCGCTTGGGTCACGAAGTTTCAATCGCACTGTATGTGCGTGCCTACATGTGGTATTTTGTGGAAGAGCCACACTCAAGGGGCCAAAGAGCCACAGCCACTGTTCTAGACAGTTATCTCTTCTGTCTTCAAAGAATTCATTCTTCAGTTAAGTCCAATCTGCTGGTCCACTGCATTTTATTTATCTCTATTTCAAGGATTTTATTTCTGGAAGGTTTTTCATTTAGCTTTGTCTTGCTTGTTTTGTTTTTCTACTTAGTATTTGTTATTTCATTTGAGTTTCTAATCATTTCTTTGCCTCTTCAACATATTAAAACAAGGTTAGTTTTAGTTCTTTCAGACAGCTTATCTCAAATTCTTACTATTTTCATATTTGTTGTATATTTTACTTCTTTCTCACAATTTATGGCTTTCTTGTCCAGTTCATAATTCTTGTTTCCAAGTTCATCTTCCAAGGATTTGTTTATCTCTGGGCACTCAGGACAGTGGAAAATTCCATGCAGAGTGGTTTTACTTTTGCTTCTGCAGGATACCTTGACCAAGTCTAGTCTAACTTCCATTTCTTGGGGAACCTCAAACCCTGTGGGGATATAACCTTGAACTCTGGGCCCTTCTTATGCATGGCATGGGTATCATGTTTTGATGCCTCACAAGGATGTCCAATTGTCCAGGTTACTTTCCATTTGCTTTCCACTCAGAGCCCCAGGTGAACAGTAGGTTTCTTAATTGCTTCTGTGCTTCGTTTCCTTTATTGGAAGGACAACCCTTTCAGATTCCCACTCTCTGTAGGCCATCTGGATCCAACCTCCAACTCTCTACCAGTCCTCCACCCCATGTCCCATCCTGGAGGCATCCGTCCTCTAAGCTTCTAAGACCCATATCCAGATCTCACTCTTCTGCCAGCCTAAGCATCTGACCACAAGCTATATCTCTAGCCTGCACTTTTCATTTCTAACATGTGAGAATTTTTATTTCTTTCTACTAAGCTCAGCTATGTGCCTAAAAATATTTTATTCTGGTTACACATATCCAGTATTTTTCTGCTTTATAATGAGAAAGGAGGCACACATCAGCTTTACTCTCCTGTTTTATGAACTTGAATCCTCCCTCTGGGCTCTGCAGACCTTGAAGTGGGAGGTGTGGCTTATTCAGGTTCAGCAAGTGCCAAGCACAGACAACTTTTAAACTTTTGACTAATGAACCAATAAAACCTGAGGTGCATCTCACCTTCTCCATTAGCAACTGGGTCTCAGAAAATCCATGAAATCCTTCTAGGCCTCAGTTTCTTCACCATCAAACCAAAAGAAAATGATTCTTCTCTTGTTGCCTCACAAGAGTGAGTTGTGAAAGTAATACAAAATATTATGAAAGAGCTTTTCAAAAATCAAATGCACTAGTGAATGAAAGAGATTAAGAAAAATAACACTGTATTAACTAATCATTTATTTACTTCATTATCACCAGGACAAACAAGAACCGGTTCCTCTGGGTGCTGCCAGTTTGTGTCAAACTCTAAAAGACGTCAGCAGAGCAGGCCAAGAAGGCCCTGTGTGCTCACTGATTTGCCTCAGATATGGACCCTTCTCCTGCAGCCCCATATGAGTATTTCATGTATTACTTGAAGTTCTTCACCCTGCTCTGCCATTGTCCTGACTTTGTCCAGGGGACACATGGCGATGGACTCCCTGTTATGTGACTCTAAGCAGTAGTTCTCTCTGATGTTTTATTTCCATTTATCTAACAACTGAGTTGGCAAATACTTAGTGAATGCCAACTAAGTAACCGGATTATGAGAGGTGTATCTTCCCTTCCCTTTGGGGCCTAACGATGCCAGTTGCATGGGAAGAAATACAAATCTAATCTTTGCAGTATTTGCTGTAAAAGTTTTTCCTCAGCTTCACATGCCCTAGATGTCATTGCTTTTCATCAGGCAGCAAACTCTCCTTCTAAGCCTCGTCCATCTTTGCAGCCTCATTTCCCACTCCTGCGCACGCCCTCGGTGCCTATTAAATGGTTCTCCACACTAGATCCTGAACATACTTTTGACTCCCTGACTTAGTGCTTTTGCACTATTGTTCCAGCTCAGCTTTGGAAGCCTTATCTACCTGCAAGGCTGAGCTCATCGACCCCGCCATCTTCTGAGCTACGGATCTTCTTTTAACGTCAGCACACAGGCTGCCTCAGCCTTCCTCACAGCCATTTCCGGTAGACACTGCATTTATTTACAAAAGGGTCTTCTCCCCAGCTAGGAGTTTTTTGTGAGACTCGCCTATGTCTTTCCCATTTACTCTGGCATTCCCATAGAACTAAACAAGTATCTTACCTAAAATTCATGAGTAGTAAATGTGTACAGATATTGGTTTATTTGGATGACTAGGTGGTGAGTTATCAAAGCAATAAGATAATACACTCATATCCCACAACAAAACCTCAGGCGATACAGAAAGCCAAATAGAATTGAAATGTTAGATTACTCAGTGCCTATTTGTTTCCTTAAAGGGCATTTCTGAATAATGAAAATAGCTTAGAAAATCCTTAGCCAGTTACTTTAAATCCAGTGTCCTAATAAAATACCCCAGTAAGTTCTATCCTTTCTCCGTAGGGTATCACTTTACCCACTGAGCAGCTGCACAAGTCAAAGCCCGGGAAAGGCATGCCATGGGACACACATTTCCATGCCACTTTCAGAGGCAGAAATAGAAACATGGCAAGAACGTCTTGCCCTCTGGCCAGTGGCACACACTGCCTTTGCCCTGTTTTGTAGGACAAAGGAGCATAGGAGGGCACAGTTCTTGGTTGACTGTGAACAATGAAGCTTTTCAAATTAGTGGGAAGAGGAACAACATGGGAATCATGGCGGATGTGTTTTTGTTCATTTATTTATCAGTTCTCAAATAGTTGCCATACATCGCAACATATCTACAGAGGGCATGGGTAGGGAACAAGTATTTCTACCAAGGACCTCAGAGGGCCCTGATGCAGGCAGTCCTTGGGACCCCTTGGTGAAATTGATGTTTGCCAATTTAATTATAATGTGCCTTGGCATCTGTCTTCTGGGATTCATTTTGCTTGGGACTCTGTGAGCATCTTGGATTTGTGTGGGTTTTTTCTTCTCCATCTCAGGAAAGTTTTCTGTCATTATTACTTGAAATACTTTTTCCATGTCTACCTCAGTTTCCTTTCCTTCTGGAACCCCTATTATTAGAATATTATTTTGTTTTGTACTGTCCCAAAGCTCCCGTAGGCTCTCCTGCTTTTTAATCTTTTTTTCTAGAAGCTGCTCTAATTGGGTATTTTTTTCCATCTTGTCTTCTAGCTCACTGATGCGGTCCTCTCCTTCATCTAGTCTACTCTTGATGCTTTCTATTGAGTTCTTCATGGTCGTGATGTCGTTTTTCATTTCTTCTTGGTTCTTCTTCAATTCCTCTTGGTTCTTCTTCAAATACTCATGGCTCTTCTTCAATTCCTCATGGTTCTTCCTAATTTCTTCTTGGTTATTGTCAAATTTCTCTTCCATTCTTTTTAGCCATCCTATGATCATTACTCTGAATTCTTGCTCTGGTAGGCTGCATGCCTCCGACTCCTTTACTTCCTTTTCTGGTGTTGCCTGCTTTTTCTTCATGTACGGGCCATTTCTCTGTCTCCCCATGATCTCTCTTTTCAGGATGTCTGGTTATGTGGTGTTCCTTCTCCTTTCCATGGGTGATTGAAGAACTCCCTTGAATCCACGTGTTTGTGCCGATTGGGGCGTCATGGCTGCTTGATGGACTCCTCCACTGTGGGTTTTCCAGGCCTCAGAGAAGCTCCTCCTTTCCTGGTAAGATGCCGCAGCCTTCCCTCCGAGCCCACAGCTCAGGGAGAAGTCGCAGCTGCCGCAGTGCTGGCCGCTTGGTCAGGAAATACTGTCCAGCGGACCCTTCCTTACCTTCCTTGAGAGTTCAGCTGCCCCTTAGCTGCCAATCAACATTCCCTGAGAGACTCAGACGCTGCTTTTTTCTGTTCTGGGACCAGGGTCAGAACAAGTCCCTCTGTTCGGTCACCATCTTCAAGCTCTGCCCCCCCTTGGTGTAATTGAAATAAATATTCACAGCTCAGGGAGGAATGAGCCAGATTCTATTCCCTTTTGCAACTGGATTCTTTTTTTCTTTTTTTTTTTTTTTTTTTTTGCTATAAAGCTACCAAACAGATTGTTTCATATCAGAACATATTGAGGTGCTTATTGTTATTATTATTTTTATAGTCATATAGTATCTCATAATATTTTTTAGTCAGCCCCGTGTCGAATATTTAGGTTGCTTCCAAATGTTTGCTAGTTTAAAAAGAAAAGGAAAATAAAAAGACTGTAATGGTACCCTTCTACATACATTATTGTATACATGTGTCAAGTATATCTTTAGGAAGAATTCTTAGAAGTGTAATTTCTAAGCCAAATAACATGTGCATTTTAAATTTAGATTGATATTGCCAAATTGTCCCCATGAAGGTTGTATCTGATTATCTAGTTCTGAATATTTACATATCACCTACTATGAGTAAAATGAATTATTATATATTTTCTTCTCTTTTCATTTTTTTGTTGAGAATTTCTTTTAATTGACTTATTGCATGGAATAATAATGCAATGTTAAATAAAACTGGTGAAAGCAGGCATATCTCTCCATTAAGTATCATATTGAGGAAATCCCCATGTATTTCTAGTTTCATGAGAGTCCATTTTCTAAATCATAAAGGAGTTTCAAATTTTGTCAAATTTTTTGCTTGCATCTATTGGAATAATTGTATGTAATTTTTGAAATCCTGTTAATTTGGTAAATCATACTGATTGCTTTTAAATATTAAACCAACTTCCCTTTCTGGATAAGCCCTACTTGAGAATAATGATAATCTTACATATTGTTGGATTCGTTTTGCTCTATTTTGCTAAAAATGTGTCTGTTCTTAAAAGATATTTTAATTTCCTTTACTTGAAGTATCTTTGGTTTTGGTATCAGAGTTATATTGGGCTCAAAAAGTTAGAAAGTAATATTTCCTTATTTATTTTCTAAAAGAGTTTGTGCAAGATTTATCTTTATATCCTACATGTTTGATAGAATTTATCACTCAGTCTATCTAGACATGAAGATTACTTTTAAGAAATGTTGGATTTTCCGTTAATTACTTTTTTCCTTTAATTGATATAAGGGTAGCCAAATTTCTTATTGTATCTCTTGTCAGTTTTGGTAAGTTGTCTTTTTCACTGAAGTTATTTAGAAGTGTGCTGTTCAGTTGTCAACTATTTGGAGATTTTTCCTCTTTTCTACCTAATTTATTTTGTGGTCAGATACTTATTACCTCAATTTTTATAAATTTATTGACTCTGATGGTTAATACATGTCCTCTCTTGATGACTGCTTCATGTACACTTTTAAAAATACCTATTCTGAAATGGTTAGATGTGACATCTATGAAAGTGTATTAAATCAAGGGTGTTGATTAGGTTTTCAAGTTCTTCAGCTTATCCTATCATTTTGTTTTCTTATTTTGTCAATTACTGAGAGTTCAGTGTTGGGGAAAAAATGCCCTACTATTATTGAGAATTTGAGTTACTCTCTTAATTCTTTCAGTTTTGCTTTGTATATTCTGAGACTTCTTTTAGGTCAGAGTCTTGAGGAGAAAATGAAGGTGCTAAATGCCATTTCAAATTAAAGTTTTATCTATATTCCTGAGCTTCATCAGAGACATGTAATTGAAAGAGAACATTGTTCTCCAAACACCCCCACACTGCTTGAGTTGAGACATGTGATAATTCTACACAACACAGGAACCATGGCATTAGCTGATAGGGGCCAGCACCTATCCCAATGGGCTCTGCTGCATGAAAGCAGAGAGGAAGTTTAGACCACAGGCTACACACTGA